CTCCCTCCCTCCCTCCCTCCCTCCCTCCCTCCCTCCCTCTCTTGCTGTCTCTAAAATAAAATTTAAAAATTAGTGTTTTTGTTTTCTTTGGATAAGTTACTCAGAAGCAGGATTGTTGGATCATATGGTGATTCTATTTTTAATATTTTGACGAAACTATGTACTGCTTTCCATAGCGGCTGTACCAATTTATGTTCCCACCAACAGTGCATGAGGGTTTCCTCTTCTCCATGTCCTCGCCAACATTTGTTATGGCTTTAAAAAAAAAAAAATTTGTTTTAAAGATTAAAAAATTTGTTTTGAAAATTTTTTACTATTTATTTATTTTTGAGAGAGAGACAGAATGTGAGTGGGAGAGGGTCAGAGAGAGAGAGAGAGAGAGAGAGAGAGAGAGAGAGAGGGAGATGCAGAATCTGAAGCAGGCTCCAGGCTCTGAGCTATTAGCACAGAGCCCCATGCGGGGCTTGAACTCATGAACAGTGAGATCAGACCTGAGCCAAAGTCGGATACTTAACCAACTGAGCCACCCAGGCACCCCCCAAAAAATTTTTTTTTAAGTTTATTTATTTTTGAGAGAGAGAGAGAGAGAAAGCACAAGGGAGGGGCAGAGAGAGATGGAGAGAGAGAGAATCCCAAGCAGGCTCTGCACCATCAACACTGAGTCCAACGTGGCCCTTGAACTCACGAACCTCGAGTTGATGACCTGAGCCTAAATCAAGAGTCGGACGCTTAGCCGACTAAGCCACCCAGGTGCCTCTGCTTGCTTGCTTTCTTTCTTTCTTTCTAATATCTCAAAATGTAAAGGTCTAGTTCCCAAACAGTTTTATGCCCCCAGAAGGAAACCCTGTACCCATTAGCGGTCACTCCCTATCCCTCTGGCCCTTCAGCATCTGTAAACCACCAATTTGTGCCTGTGTGTGTGGATTTCATACAAATGGAATCCTACAACATGCGACCTTTTGTGTCTGGCTTCTTTCACTCAGTGTCATATCTTCAAGGCTTATCCATGTGGCATTCATCAGTACTCTATTCCTCTGTATGGCTGAGAAATGTTCCATTATATATATTATCATATATCAATACATATAATATATAATAACATTATATATTAAACATGTTAACATATATATTATATATGTACCACAGTTTGTGTATTCATTAATCCATTGGTAGGCGTTTGGGCGGTTTCCATCTTTTTGCAGTTATGACTAACGCTGTTACGAACATGTGTATACAAGCATTTGTTTCAATACCTGTTTTCAATTATTTTGAGCACACCATATACCTAGGCACAGAACTGCTGGATCATATGGTAATTCGATTTACCTTTTAAAAAAAAATTTATTTGAGAGAGAATGTGCACAGGAAGAGCAGAGAGAGAGAGAGAGAGAGAGAGAGAGAATCCCAAGCAGGTCTGTACTGTCAGTTCAAGGAGCCCGATGTGGGGTTTGAACCCACAAACCCATGAGATCATGACCTGAGCCAAAATTAAGAGGTGGTGCCTAACTGCCTGAGCCACCCAGGCACCCCTCTGTGTTTAGCTTTTTGGGGAACCGTCAAACTGTCTTCCATGATGGTTGCACCCTTTTACATTCCCACCAGCAGGACGTGAGGGTGCCATTTCCCCCACATCTTTACACGGAGACCATATCTTAAAGTTGGGGGGCAGGGGCCATCTGATCTTTGGTCATGGTGGTTTGTCCATGATTGGTTTTGATAACCTCTAGCACTATTTCCCTCCACAGTTCACAGAATGGGATGTTGGCCAAAAAGCAGCCATTGTGATCTGGTAAGGACCTTCAATTCTGTTAACTTGGAAATTCACACAAGAGCTGGAAGGGGCTTTGGGAGAAATATAGTTCAGCCGTAACTTCTCTGGTCTCTGCTTGAATGCTGCCTATGATGGGTGCTCACAGCACCAGGGGGTGGACAATCCCACTGTTGGACAATTGTCTCCTTTTCCTGAAAATCCATTTCTTTAGAGGTGGAGGTTCAGAGAAGGCTCCCTGGAGGAGAGGACGTCAGCACTGCGCTTTGGGGGTGTTGCGTTGACCAGGGAAGGAAATGAGAGAGGTATGTTCCTGGCAGAAGAAAAGGGAAAGCCATGTTTTCCAAACTGATTGTGTATACCACGGTGGTAGCCTCACCAGGGGCCTTGTTGGACAGGTCTTTTTTTTTTTTTTTTTTTTTTTTTTGAAGCTTATTTATTTACTTTTGAGAGAGAAAGAGCACAAACAGGGGAGGGGCAGAGAGAGAAAGGGAGACACAGAATCTGAAGCAGGCTCCGGGCTCTGAGCTGTCGGCACGGAGCCCACACTCAGGAACCGTGAGATCATGACCTGAGCCAGAGTCTGACTCTCAACCGACGGAGCCACCCAGTTGGGTGGTCCTTTGATGAATAACCCTGAGAGAGTTTCAGTTGCCCCACACAGCCCTTCCCTGCTTCAACACCTCTCCACCTGTTTCTGTCTCTTGTCTTTTAGATTGGAATGTGCCAAAGTATTTATTTCAAACAGGCTTTTTAAAAAAAATATTTTGTTTAAGTTTATTTATTTCTTTGGAGAGAGAACATGAGCAGAGGAAGGGCAGAGAGAGAGAGAGAATCCCAAGTATGCTCTGTGCTGTCAGTGCAGAGCCTGACATGGGGCTCCATCCCACAAACTGTGAGATCATGACCTGAACTGAAATCAAGAGTCGGCTGCTTAACTGACTGAGCCACCCAGGCGCCCCGACATCTGTCCATCTCTTAAACATCTGGTGGCGTTCCTTGGCTCGCCAGTCTGAGCCCCTTCATTATTCTTTGTCTTGGGTTTTCTAGGAGACACTTTGTTTTTAATCCTGCGGGACAGGCAAATGCAACATCTATAATTAGATGTGTCTATTATTAAATTCCACATCTTGCTGACGAATTCTTGCTGAGGTGCCTGGAGTACCAGTGAGGAAGTAAAATGCCCCAGCATTCACAGAAGGTCCAAGCTGCCAGGTGGGGTGGAAACAAGCAAATCTTTCAGTGACTGAGCTACAACATGAGTCCTCACCAAGGAGCTTCTCATTGTGTCCCAGTAAGCCACTTGTTGCTTCCAAGGAAGAGCACCTGGGACTTAAATTGATGAATAAGTCAGCTTGTAGTTGTCATGGATGGCTGGGGACAAGGGTGATATGTAAATAAAATGGGTAAAATTTAAACTGCGTTTTAGCGAATAGCATTGTAATTTCTTCCCCTATGAAATCTTCAGTAAGTAGCAAAACAGGCCTCTCTCTTTTTTTAATGTTTATTTATTTCGTTTTACTTTTTTTAATTGAAAAAGTTTTTTAACGTGGATTCATTTTTGAGAGACAGAGAGAGAGCACGAGCAGGGGAGGGGCAGAGAGAGAGGGAGACACAGGCTCCAGCTGTCGGCACAGCGCACGTCGCGGGGCTTGAACCCACGAACCGGGAGATCATGCCCTGAGCCGAAGTCAGAGGCTTAACCAACTCTGCCACCCAGGAGCCCCAAAATGTTTATTTAGTTTTGAGAGAGAGACAGATCGCACGTGAGGGAGAGGCAGAGAGAGTGGGGCAGAGGATCCGAAGCAGGCTTTGTGAGGACAGCAGCAAGTCCAACTGAGGCTCAAACTCACAAACCATGAGATCATGACCTGAGCCCCGTGAGATCATGACCAGAGCCCCGTGAGATCATGACCTGAGCCAAAGTTGGATGCTCAACCGACTGAGCCACCCAGGCGTGCCTCAAAACAGGACTCTTTGAAAGCTGGGTCCTTTTTTCCTTCCTATTTATTTTTTCCTCCATCTTTATCTTGTGGGGTGCGAATGACCCAAGGGCTGGGTAGTTGTTGTCCAAGTAAGAACCAATTGTGAAAACATCAGAAGATGTGCTCATAGGAGAGGAGTGGCCAGAAGGTAAATAGAAAGCCAGGACTCAGGAAATAGAACTCAGGAAAGCCAGAGTTTGATTTGATTTCATCACCAAGGCTCCTCTGCCTTACAACGCTTCCCTGGCCCTAGGATTGCCCACCAGTAGGCAAGTTCATGCTGTTTCGTCTTCAGAACCAACAAGCAACCGTCAGCATCTGGCGGATGGCTCAGCTGGCAGTTCCCCTTGGCTTCTCCTTGTGGGAGATTCAAGGAAGGGCCGGGGCATCAGAAGGACTTTCGGGGAAATCATCTTTCCTCTGTCTTCCTTCCCCTTCCATATTCTGCTTATTAATAATTCACTTTTCCTTTTAATTCTCAGTACTCTGGCTGTTCTTTTGGGCCAGGCCGATGCACACTTCACTTTCTTCTACTTCCTTTTATTCCAATCACAAAATCCCTCCAGGCTGAGGCTCCCTTCTCAGAAACCTAGCAATTAGAAGAGGAAGCCGGTCTCTTACTAACACTTTGTTTGGAGCCCCGTCATAAATAATTAACCTGACGTTACACTCAGAAAACAAATGGATGGGGTTCAGTTGGCGATGTTGTGTGGGAGCTTTCTCTCCTGGGGTTTTACCCCACTCACAAAATCCAGGAAGCGGATACAGGCCTTTCCATTAGCAGGGATGAGCTGTCCGATTTCCAACACTTAGGGAGGAAACCACACGGAGCCATTTTTCTCAGGCACTTAAACTTGAGATTTGTTCATGAATCCGGTGTCTGAGACTCAGGACAGCATTTTCTCCCACCAGCATCTCACGGCCCCAAAGGCTGCAGCCGCCCCCGCACTTGTTTGATTTGACCTCCTCCGGTCAACTCAGTTTCATTCCTGGGGATGACAGTGGAGGGTGCAGGGTGGATTCAGAAGGGGCCATGGTCATCTCCACTCACATTCAGTCCTTGGCTAAAATGGTCAGGGTGAAGAGGTGGCTGGGATGGGTTCTTTCTTTCCTTTTCTTTCTTTCTTCCTTTCTTTCTTTCTTTCTTTCTCTCTCTTTCTTTCATGGATCCTTCCTGCCTTCCTTTCCTCCCTCCTTTCCTTCTTCTTTCCTTCCTTCCTTCCTTCCTTCCTTCCTTCCTTCCTTCCTTCCTTCCTTCCTTCCCTCCCTCCCTCCCTCCTTCTTCCCTTCCTTTCTTCCTTCCTTCCTTCCTCTCCTTCATGGATCCTCCCTCCCTCCCTCCCTCCCTCCCTTTCTTTCAACGGATGTGAAATTCACATAACATAAAATTAACCACTTCGTCACAAAAGGGCAAATACTATGTGCTTCTTCTTATATGAGGTGCCTAGAGTCATCAGATTCACCAAAGACAGAAAGTAGGATGGGGGGAGCCAGGGGTGGGGGGGTGGGGGAAGGGATGGAGAGTGAGTGTTCGATGGGGACAGAGTTTCCATTTGGGAAGATGAAAGGGATCTGAAGACGGAGCATAGTGATGGCTGTACAGCGTGTGAATGTTTAAGATAGTCATTATCATGTTATGTATATTTTACACACACATATACATATATATATACATAAATAATTTTTAATTGACCATTTTAAAGTGTATACTGGCATTTAGTCAATTTGCAATGTTGTACAACCATCACTTCTAACTAGTTCCATAACATTTTCATCATGGGAACCTCATACCCACTAAGCAATCAAGCCCCGTTCCCCTACACCCCTCTCCGTAATGCTCGAAACCACCAATGTGCTTCCTGTCTCTATGAATTTACTCTTCTAGATAGTTCATCGAATTGGAATCATGCAATATTGGGTCCTTTGTGTCTGGCTTCTTTCACAGAGTATAATGTTTAAGGGGGGGTTGTTGTTAACATCATACAGGTGTCAGTGCTTTAGTCCTTTTTACGCCTGAGTAATATTCCATGGTAGGGATCTGCCACAATTTGTTTATCTACTCATCCACTGATGGCCACTGGAGATGCTTCTGCCTCTGGTTATTGTCATGCTGCTGTGAATGTGTGTGTTCAGGGATTTGTCTGGACACCTCTGTTGGGAAAGTTCAGCTGCTTTTTGCTCTTGGTATCTTTCTCTTGTCAAGAAGGCTCACAGCTGGGTCAACCAAGAAATTAAAGACGAAATCAGAAAATACATAGAGGCAGGGGCACCTGGGTGGCTCAGTCGGTTAAGCATCCGACTTTGGCTCAGGTCATGATATCATGGTTCGTGGGTCCGAGTCCCATCTCAGGCTCTGTGCTGACAGCTCGGAGTCTGGAGCCTGCTTCAGATTCTGTGTCTCCATCTCTCTCTGCCCCTCTCCCACTCATGCTCTGTCTCCCTGTCTCTCAAAAATAGATAAATGTTAAACAAGTTTTTTAAAGAAAATACATAGAGGCAAATGAAAATCAAAAGACAATGGTCCAAAATCTTTGGGATGCGGCAAAAGCTGTTCTAAGAGAGAAAATTAGAGCAATGCAGGCTTACCTCAAGAAGCAAGAAAAGTCTCAAATAAACAACCTAACCTTATATCAAAAGGAGTTAGAAAAAGAAGAACAAACAAAGCCCAAAGCCAGTAGAAGAAAGGAACCGATAAAGATTACAGCAGAAATAAATGAAATAGATTAAAAAAAAAAAATAGAACAGATCGATGAAATCCAGGACTGGTTCTTTGAAGGCCTTGCAACTGCCTGTCCTCACCTGTGGCCAGGCTGGTCCTGCTCCTTCTGTGGCCTCTTGTAGCCTGTGGGACAGGCAGCACCTCTTGGAGAACCTGCCAGGTGACATGTCTCAGAGGGTCACAGCATTCAGAGGCCACCCAGCAATTAGGAAGCTGCCTCATCATGCTCCCTGGGGAGGGTGTTCCAGGACGTAGGCGGGCAGTTCTGTCTGTCACTGGTTTTCTAGAAGTGCCACAATGAGCAGTCATAGTCTCTGAGGGATAGGTGCACTGAGAATCCATTTCACTGACTCACTTTTTGGTAAGCCTGACCTCCGAGTCTCTGGATATCCTGTCTTGCCTCAACTTCAGTGTGAACAGGATGTGTAGGCATGGGAGCTGCTGAGATGGGAGAGAGGGCAGGGCATCCGAAACTCTGTCCCATTGTGACTCACCTAACAACCTGCCCACACCACAGGGGTCTCAGGGAACTGTTCCCTGCTGCCTGGACACATCTGATGAGAGCGTGCTTCCAGCAAAGAAGGAGGCATGATGCGCTGTTAGGCTGGGACAGTATTAAAAACAATCAGCCATGGGGCGCCTGGGTGGCTCAGTCGGTTGAGGGTCCGACTTTGGCTCAGGTCATGATCTCACGGTTCGTGAGTTTGAGCCCCGCATCAGGCCCTGTGCTGACAGCTCGGAGCCTGGAGTCTGCTTCGGATTCTGTGTCTCCCTCTGTCTGTGCCTCCCCCACTCGCACTCTGTCTCTCAAAAATAAATAAACATTAAAATATTTTTAAACAATCAGCCATGGAGTTCCTTTGTTGGACATTTCCCAAACCTTTTTAATTTACTCAGGTGAAATTCCCATCACCTAAAATTAATCATTTTAAAGTGAACAATCCGGTGGCATTTCGCACATTCCCAATGTTGTGCCCCCACCGTCTGTCTCTAGCTCCAGAGCGAATGCATTCCCCCCAAAAGGAATTCTGTACCCATTTAAGCAGCCACTCCCCACCCAGACCCTTGGACCAGCGTCAACTGGAAAATTCAATCCTTAGTGTGCAGTCAGGTGCCTCAGTCAACACTGGTGCCACGTGGTAGGGGTGAAGAAAGATGTGACAGAAGGTGGAAAAAGAAGAGGTAGGGGAGACAGGTGAGGACATCGGGTCGTGTGTGGGGAACAGGCTGGGGACTCCCTGCGTGTGTGCGCTTCCAGGAGTAACTGGAATACGTTCCCTTTTCTTTTGTATTCCTGAGGCTGGATGGGGTCTTGAAAGAACGGGGGCAGCAGGGGTGGGGCCCCTTCCAGCTCCTCCATTCTCTCCTCGTGTGCTCTCTGGCAAGTTAATCTGTGTCTCTGAGACTCAGCTCTCTTGTCTCTAAGGAGGGCTAACAGTATCCACGTGGTCAGGCGGCCGGGAGGGCTCCAGGGCAGGTACGAGGGCACTTGGCACGGAGGTTGCACACAGCAGGTGCTTCAAAGTAGTCTCCATCCTATTGTTGTACTTCTGCAATGGTGGGGCTGCTTGGGAGATGGTTGGTGCTGCCAGAGAGAAAAGGATGCAGAAAGGTAAAGCGGAGGAATTTGCCCCCATCAGGGAGAAGCCAAGGGAATTTGAAAGCCTTTTAAGAAATGAGGACGCCCTTGCCCTGACTCACCTGCTCCGGCAGGGTGTCTCCCTGTGAAGGTCTGGGAGGCCTCGTTTCTTGTTTCTTCTCTCCTTTGAACTTGGAAGCAGTGGAGGAGGGTTCGAAAGGCCGTGACTAAGCTCTCCGCCAGCTTCCCCGCAGCTTTCTGCTGAGCAAGCCGGCGCCGAGGAGAGAGCGCCCCGGGCAGTGCATTCTGCAGCGGGACAAGAATGTGATTTTTGTGCACTGCCTTTCCAGCCCCTCTTTCACACACAGAAAAATGCTGCGTGCATAAGGGCGTGCCCTTCTTTCCTTGGGGGAGAAGACAATTCTTCGATTCCCAAACAGAATCTGGAATCCATTCTCCTTGGGAGGAAGCCACGGGCACTGCCCGAGGATGGGGGGGGGGGGGGGGGCCGGGGGGTGGGGAGGAGACAGCCCTTCTCCAGGCATGGAGACAA